CAAAACATATAGGTTTATAAATATAACAAGAATATTTAACTATAATATTAGATACTTACAAAGTATTCTGACTCTTCATCAATGCTGTTGAGATGTTCTCCCTGGTCTGGGGGAGTGAGCTGCACCGACTCTCCTGTAAACTCTCGGTCGAAGTACCGTGTATCTGTCTCACTTGTTACTTGTGGTTTGAAAGGAGGTGTGATCTGCAAGTTAATTGAGGCTGTAAATTCTCCTTGAATTTTGCTTCTCTTTCTCTTTCAAGAACAAGTTTACATAACAGTAAATGGCACTTCTTGCCATACTTGTTGACTACTGCACATCAAAATATGCCTGAAGGCTTTAATACTAGAAACATAAGCTATTGATATGGTATTTAACCCAACTGCCCCATATTTATGTTCAGTCCTCTGTATTTTTTTTTGGTGAATTTTGTTACATACAGATGGCTCCACATGTGCTCAGCTGGCAAGGAGTCTATCGGTAGCCCTATTGACTGATCCTGATTTCCCCATTCTTTGAATTGGCTCAGCGTCGCACTTTGGTGAGTAGGGCTTGGACACTGATGAGAAGGGTCAAGGAACAGTTCATCAGGTATCTTGCTGAGGAGATTGAAGGCCATTTCTTGGTAAATGACCTTTGCCCTGGCTACCAAGCCCTGAGAGAGCTGAACTCTAAGCCCTCCTTGCAGATGACTACAGTCCACTCAGTGGACTGTAGTCTCAGATCATGCTGGGGTTTGTAAACATTGGGCTGAGTATTTTGAGCAGCTATACCAGGTAGACCTCTAACAGTTAGCTTGGATACAAGTGGTATCATAATACCTGTGCCAGACCCACCCATCACTGAGGAACCTCATACCCTAACTGAGGCTAGGATGGCGATTTCTAAGCTGATGAGCGGGAAAGCCACAGGCATATGTGATATACCTGTTGAACTGCTAAAGGCTGGGGGTGAACCTTTGGAATGGGGCTTGCATGCAATCTTGACTGTCATATGGCAGTATGTTTCCAATCCCCCTGACCTGTTGAGGGTTGTGGTAATCCCTCTCTGGAAGGGGAAAGGGGATTGTTGGGGCAGTAGCAACTACCGTGGCATTATACTGCTCAGTATACCAGGCAAGGTTTTCACCTACATTCTTCTGAATGCAACCATCTACTAAGGCACCAGAGGCCAGAGCAGTCTGGATTCACTCTTGGCAAATCCACAATAGACCATATCCTAGTGCTTCAAGTAATTGTGGAATGCTGTTGAGTTCGGTTGTGGGTTGCTTGCAGCCTACATCAGTCTGACAGACTAATATTATTATGATAATCACAATGTCATTTCCAATACTAATAGCAATATCAAAGAAGAAAAGAAAATCCAAAATTCAAGGAAAATGGTTTACATGTGATCTAGATAGGACTAGTAACTGACTACTATATGACTAAGAACTTCCATATTTAACCCCTTGGTGCCGGGTGACGCCGATCGGCGTGTAAACAAACTGCTCGAAAGCTGGCGTGCGGCTGTACGCCGCGGCGGCGCACCAAAGCGCGGCGAGCCAGTGATTCAGGCTGATGTCTCCTACTCACGCGCTCAAAGTCAGCGCCTTTGTTTGCTTGAGCGTAGAGTTTTTTTGTTTTTTTTTGTACACCCGGCGTCATTGGGTTAAATACAATTAATGGTTTTGTACTGTCCACATTGGAAAGGGAAAAATAATACCCATGAAATAGGCTTCATTCTCATCATATTTCACAAATGATTGTCTTTTATAAATTAATCATTCAACCCTCTTTTACTGGCTGGATGAAAATCATTATCAAGCAGAGACACGCATTTTGGAAGCTTCTTGTTTTATTCATTGATTTTGGTCATGTCTTGCAGGTTATGTAATGGAAATGTCTTGTGGAACTGTTTTTTGAAGGGTAGCAGTTTGAACCAGTTTAGTGATTTTCCCAGTTATAATGATATGCTTGAAAGTACTTACTTTCTTCTCCTCCAGTAATTTCCAGTTGATGGTGATGTAGAAGGGGTGATTCTGAACCTCTTTCACATCTCTAGGTCCACCTCCAAGACGTGTGTTTGGGTCCTTGTGCAGCAGGCCCCTGAGGAGGTCTCGTGCTTCTTGTGATATTGTACGTGGGAATCTTACCTATTGTTAAAAGAGGGAAGGAAGTTAATATATAATTTTTTGCTTACATGGGATGAAAGCATTTCTTAATGTGAATGTTGTAATACATATATTCCTTGCTTTTCTTTGTATTCTTTAACAATAGTTTTGGGTGTTATGTTTGATTTTTATAACCATTTACTATCATGGTAACAGACTTTAAAGGGACCATCCCTGGCAGAGAAGGGGGGGGGGGGTGGAGGCATTTGGAGTTTGCTAGCCTATGCTATATGTACATGATTGAGGGAACTTCCAAACGACTTTTAGAGCCCACCGCTTGTATTTCTTGGGAGGATCAAGGGCATTAGCACCAACAGGTAAAATAAATGCAAAGACAATTTTTGCTAG